TAAAAAAATTATTAAATTTTTTTTATGTTTTGATGTATTAATGTTAAAATTTTAAAATTAAATATTATTTTAATATATTTTAATTAAAAATATTTTAAAAAATAATTATAATCATGCTAAAACCCTGAGATGTCAAAAAAAAACACTAATGATTTTAAATTAATTTTTTAAAATTATATTAAAATAATAATTTTTTTATTTTTTAAAAATTATTTTTAATATGAGATATAAAAATAATATTAAAATATCAAAAAAAATATTAAAAAATATATTAATTTAAAATATAACAAATTAAATTTTTTTTAAATATTTTTAAATTTCAAAAACAAACTGTTATACATCTATGAATTCATGGCATCTCTTATTCTCTGGTTCTTCGAGGGCTTGCAAGCCCTCTTTTGACAAGTGAGACCAGAGAGACGAAAATATCCCTTTTCTTGCAGGTGAGAGTTCTGCCACGAATAAAATAGAGAGATCCTACCTGTTACAGATCCACAAAACCAGAAAACCAAATTAAAAAAAAAACAAAAGGATAATTAAATAAATCAAATAACTACCATAACTTTCAATCTGGAAAACAAAGAAGATTTGAATAGAACATCGAACAAACAACTTTCTATTCTTCGTACAATTCAGTTTGCTGTTGTGTTTAGAAATTGAGAGTTAAGAAGGGGTGAGAAAAAAATTATAAATAAATAAATCAGACCATGAAAAAAACTAATTAATTATTTAGAATATTTAAAACAATCTAGTTAAATTTAATTTTATAAATCTAAAATTGATAAACCCAAACCATAGCTAAGCAAATCAACCATCTCCATCCAGGCTCCCGCATGCCACATCCATCATTCTTAGGTGGACATTTTTTAACCATGACTTTATTTAAAATTATAATAATGACAATAACTGCAGTTTAAAATATTTTTATTATATTTTTTATTTTTTAAAATTAGTATATTAAAATAATTAAAAATTATATTAAAAATTTTTTAATCAAAAACAAATTCAACTCGCTCAAGTACCTGTTCTGTGTTGCGCGTTCAAGTCCTGCTCTGTGTTGCGAGATGAGAGAGACGAAAATATTACATTATACCCTCTGAGAAAGCTAATCTAGTGTAATTACTGGCATACCCCTCTAGCTCTATCATCTAATCTTGAAGAATTCGCTACGTTCAACTGAAGGACAATTTTGTCTTCTCGCTATCGAGAGGTCGTGAGTCATTTTCATTGTCCATTGAAAAAAGAATACCCTACCCTACCATGTTTCGCCTCAAAAGCATTCACAGTGCAAAACTTTCTGTATTTGGCGTACATGACTTATTTATATTAAATTTAAAAAATATATTTTAAAGTTTCTTTACAGTTTTTTAACATTCAATTTTTTAAGAGATATATAAAAATAATATGTTTTAGAAGAGAAAAGGCATAGTTAGAACATTAAGTAATATTATATAAGGCATGTGGAAAAAATACTTAGTTTTTCTTTTATTTTTTTATTTTTTTCTTTTTTTTCCAAAATTATCTTCTACTTCTCTTTTTCCCCCCACTTTTTTTTTTCGTTTTTCTCCCCCTTTTTTGGGTTTTTTTTTTTTTCAAGATTGTCTTCTTCTTTAATGGTAAAATTATTTTAGAAATAGGTATACAAAAAATATTATTTTTTTGAAGTAAAGATTACTTTTAAAATATTAACTTTTTCAGGTAAAAATTTTTAAAAACTATTCCAAACACACATCATCATCATCATCGGTTCGAAATTAATGTTTGTAGGAGTAAAACATTACAGCTGATTTCCTTAAAAACGTTGTGGGTCCAAATGCGAAAACATTTAATCAATTATTATAGGTTTCCACACGTTTACCATTGAATTCTTGAATAGCAGCTAGACACGTTTTTTGTACTGTTGCTTCCCCACTGCAATGTTTCTATTCGCTTTGGGACAGCCATGCTGGCGCATCCCATGACGAAATTGAGGTCCCAGATTCGCAAGAAGCTTCTCCTCCCGCAAAAAATTAAGCTCCGGGACTCGCCTCCTTCAAGCACTTAAGCGAGTCTCCTTCTCATCCGGCCCGCGTCACTTGTTTATTTTATCGCTGTTGAAAACTACTTATTTGCTTGGGGTTCTTGGAAAATGTTTATTTATTGAAAAATAATTTTTAAAATTTTTTTATATTAGTTTTTTATTAAAAAAATAATTAATAAAAAATAATTTCCAGTTAATAAAAAATACTTTTTAATTTAAAAAAATTAGTTTAGTTTTTAGAAAAGTGTTTTTTTTAGTTGTGTTTATTTTTTGAAAAATAATTTCTGAAAAATTATTTTCCAAACTTTCTTGTTTTTATTTAATGTTAGAAAAGTTGGTCAATGAAAAACACTTTCTAGTCAAAGAAAATTTAGCTTGGTTTTCAGGAAAGTAATTTCCTGAAAAATTTAGATAGAAAACACTTTTGGAAGTTGTGAAAAATTTAGAAATGTCATTATTTATTGATTATATCAAATTTGATCCTCAAACTTTTGATTGTTATATATATTTTGTTTTAAATATTTATTTTTCAATTTAATTTCTTAAAATTTAATTTTTATATTAACTTTTGTCCTTATTTTTATAATTGTTATTTGCTTTTCTCCTATCATTTATTTATTGAAATTTTTATCTATCAAATTTGGTCCTCATTCTTTTGATTGTTACTTATTTTATTTGAAATACTTTATGAAATATTAATTATTATTATTTTAATTTCTTCATCTTTTTTTTTTAGATTTAATCTTTATTATGTTTATTATTATTTATTTTATCTGAGATAATTTATAAAATTGTATTTTTTTTCAATTTTATTCTCATTTAACTTTTTAATTTGTAAGACTTGTTCTTCATTATTTTAATAAACTTGAAAAAAATAAATTATTTTTCAGTTCATTTTCCATAACATAACCAAACACTGGAAAGTGTTTTCCAATTCATTTTCCATAATATAAAAAATAATTAATAAAAAATAATTTCCAGTTAATAAAAAATACTTTTTAATTTAAAAAAATTAGTTTAGTTTTTAGAAAAGTGTTTTTTTTAGTTGTGTTTATTTTTTGAAAAATAATTTCTGAAAAATTATTTTCCAAACTTTCTTGTTTTTATTTAATGTTAGAAAAGTTGGTCAATGAAAAACACTTTCTAGTCAAAGAAAATTTAGCTTGGTTTTCAGGAAAGTAATTTCCTGAAAAATTTAGATAGAAAACACTTTTGGAAGTTGTGAAAAATTTAGAAATGTCATTATTTATTGATTATATCAAATTTGATCCTCAAACTTTTGATTGTTATATATATTTTGTTTTAAATATTTATTTTTCAATTTAATTTCTTAAAATTTAATTTTTATATT